GTTAGGAAAAACCGGTAAGAACAAAACAGCCGGAGAACACTTCTGCTATAGGTTATGAAGCAGCACGAGGTTATGAGATGGCGTGATTGTGGTGGATGGTACAGGATAGGGTAACCAAGAATGTATTATCTAAATACCTAATAAAATTCGCCTTCTCGTGATATTGCGAAGGTAAAAAAAAAAAAAAATAAAAAAAAAAAATAAATTTATTAATTATTAAAGCTTAAACATGCTCTGAATACTTATGAATACTTAAACACTTGAATATTAAACAGTACCAAAAAACCTTTAAACAGTTAAAACATACATTACTGCTAACAGATATATAGCTACTAGCTAGTGAACAAAAAAATCAAGTTCTTAGTAAGTTTAGAACCTGGAGGAAAGTCAAGAACTACTAAGATAGGTTGCACCTGAGTATAAACCAGATAAGCCAACTGTTTGAAAAGTTTAGTAATTACAGATAAAAATTTATATTAATTTTTTGAATAATTTAATCTCAAATAAACAGAAGCAGGGTGTGGTGACTTAGTGAACTAATGAAGTTGTTACACCCCCAAGTAGTTAAGTATAGATTTAATTTCTACAGAAGGCAAAAAATTAGAATAGATTTGGCAACTATTATTGTAGCTGGAAAACCTCGAGACCCTATAACTGTAGTTGTATTAAGATAAAAATTGGAAGGTTCTGGGGCATTTGTATAATAAAAAAGTTATATAAAAGCATGCAAGCCGGTTTAGTCAGTGCAAAACTCAAGATAAGTCCTTTAGAATCGCAGAAAGCCATAAAGTTGATATGATGGTGAGACGCTTGCTTGAAAAGTCCTGAATAGAGAGGTAGCACAGATCTTCAATAGTATTACATACAAATTAATACTTAAAAAACTGGTTAAACTGAATAGAACCGAAGTGTTTGGCAAAGCACTTCACTAACCAAGCTGCTAGAGAAGTAATTAGAAGAAAAAGACCCAATTGTGGGGATCTGAGACAGGTCATAGTCCTTCCGGGCCATCTGAATTGATAGTTTGGTGTAGCTAGAATATGGGTAATAGTTTGTAAGTGTACTGAGGTTTGGGGTAAACTTTATAAGAGCAGAAGTAGGTTGTATAATGATGATCAGGCCATAGTTAAATTAAAACGTTATGAAAAAACCAGTAAGAACAAAACAGCTGAAGAATACTTCCACTATAGAAACTGGAGCATAAGTAGTGAACCTTGGCCTATGCATATCAACTGAAGCCTAGGTCAGCCAGATTGTGGGTATGGAAGGCTCTAACAGATTTACCTCAAAGATAAAGGATTCAATAGAAACCTGTTTTAAAGTCCTAAGTTGGATGTCTGAAAATAAGGAGGTATTTATAAGATATTGGTCATGCAATGATTAATATCATGAAATTTGTTTTGTTAGAGCAAATGATTGGTTGACATATGCTGCGTAGCGGCACGTTTCAGCCAATCATTTGCCACGACAGAACAAATTTTGTGATATTTATCATCGCATGATCCAATATTGATGTTATCATGCAATTATGATCATGATTTCCGAGTCGTGGTTGGCTAACTGAGTTTTAATTCGGGATTGTTGTGCTTACATAATAACATACAAAAAATAACAAGAAGAAAAAAATCTATGATCATAAGAGTTTGCACGATAACATATATTCTCAGTTAATTAGATGATTAATATATATAGCAATATATGTATGGTTTGGTATACTATACTGTAAAAGTTAACAATAATCGAATAAAAGAAGATGATCAAAAGGTCACCTTAACACCAAAAAAAAAAAATAAATAAACAAAAGCAGAATTGCCAAATTATAAAAAAAAATAATTAAATATTTTAAATTATAACTACTTTTTTAAAATTAAAAATTTTGAAAATCCCTCTTTTAGATTTGTTATTTAAATAAAAACAATAAATTTGAAAAAGGAATTTTTATTTTAACTTGAATATCTTTAGCTGTCCCGCACTGTAGCATCTTCAAATCATATGACAAAATGATCTACTTTCAAAACAAACGTGTTTTGTAAAATTAAAGTTAAGAAAACCGCGTTAGAGTTAGAGCTAGAACTGGGACAATTTAAGATACATTAGTAAAATTTCACAAGAAACATTTTTAATTAAACCGCAGAAGGTGGTTTCCTAATTAAAATTTAGAGCTATTTTGTAAAAAATTCGATTTTTACGTTACACCTGATCCTGAAATTCGATTGGTCAAAATTACAAGCAATTTTTTGTGGAAGAACTAGAAGCATCCCTTAATGAATTAGTCTAATTTATCTAGTAGTTCATTTTTAAATCACAATGTCGTCCTTTGATCCTGATCGTTACATGCTTGGCAATGCCGGAGCGCGTCGCCTGGGGCTTTTACTTGGGCAGAGTGATCCTGTAACGGGAATCACAGAAATCCAGCAACGCTATCAAGTAAAGGTCGAAAACATTGAGGTATAACAAATGGCGCGTCACAAATTGTTTATATTTGCCAACCTACATTTTAATAGAATATTTGAACTTCAGAACGTATATCCATTACTCGAATTAAGTGGCATGTCAAGATTCAATATTCATGTAGGTATTTTGGAAGCACTAAGGAACAAGTTTATACAAGCTATCGAAACAGAACATTGGGATCATGACAAGTGAGTTTTATGAAAGATAAAGCATAGACATATAGTATTGAATTGTTGTATTTCTCTTATTACATTCCTCTTCTATGCAGATTCACCAAATTCTTGTCAAAGTCCATGGGGTACTTATTTATTAAAGAGTTTCGCCCCGTTGTTCTTGCACTTCTTAAGAAGTACCCTGAACGTGTAACAAAAGATATTTATGAAATGTTGGCACAAGAACCGAACATTATACATGTAATTATCAAAATATGGACAATCCAAATTAGTAATCAACCAATTATTAAAAAATTTAAACATATTTAATATTTAAATGGAATAGGAAGCTCCGATTGAGATCAAAAGAGGTTTATATGAACGCAACAAAAAAATGTTCAAGGTATCTATTCAGGCACAAATCGTTGGTTATTTTAAAGACCAGGCTTTGGGTATGCAGGCACGAGAAATGAGGGGTATTGGTGTTAATGATGTTTTAGATCGAAGGTAAATATATTCTGCATGCTTTTTTCTCATACATATTATTGTACAATGAGATCAATTATAATACTTTTACTTTAGGATAAATGCAGCTGGGCTACAATATATTATCAATTTGGTTCATGAAAACTCGGTCCTTTTTGCTGAATTGCAAAACATAGTTAGAGAATGGTATAAAGAATATGGACTCTCAAAACTTTGTTCATTTCGATTTGATTTCTTTATGGGCATGCAAAAAGCTGGAAGAATTCATGTAAGTTGAGTTTAATTTAGGTAATTTTAAAATTCGAATAATATTTAACCAAGTGAATATTTAAAATAAAACTTCAGATGTGTAAACAGGATCATTCTTACAATATAATTTGGTATATTAATGGAGGAATAAGGAAAGGTTTGGATGCAACTGCGGTCGGCAGCATAAACACTTATTTGACCGAATATAGGAAATCTAGTTCTAGAGAATTTTCGTATGACATCTTGGGTTAAAGTTACAATGAACGCAGGCATATTTTCCACAAACGCATAATAACAATTTTAAATTATTATTTTATAGAGATATCGCAATGATATTCCAGGACCCTATCGTATATAATGTTTTCTCCGCTCGTATTGTCGATGCTTTAAAAAAATATATTTCTGAATACTTTAAAAAGAATACAGATAAAACATCTGAGGAAAAAAATATTCAAAAAATCGTCACCGCAGCTTTAGCCATATTATTGGTCCGTTTATTATGATATTTAATAACTTCATTTTAAATTTTACTAATTTAATGAATTTATTACACGAATTATTAGAAAGAAAAGGAATCGACTGTTAGATGGTTATCTTCAATGGTTACTTTTGGCAGTTATGCGCATAACATGTTGATCACCAAAAATTATAATGTGCCAGAAGTGGATGAAGACATTTACGCTATATATTATAAAAAACTATTATATTGGATGTATGATGATAAAATAAGAGAACTAAAAACGCGTCAAGCAATGGCACATTTAAGCATAGATGACGATCAAGATGTGCCAAATACCATTAGCACAGTGCTCGCATTTGGAGATATTGAGCTTCGTATGTTGAAAAAAATTGATTTAGCAAGAAAGGTAATTCTGCGCTTTTTATTATTTTTTTTTTTCATAATCATTTTAGCAACTCAATATCACTATTCATAATTACGCATATATATATATATATATTTTCTACTTTGTTTTTTTTTCATCACAGGTCTTTTGTCATTATATGCTAGATCGTTGTGAAAAGAGTGATATCATAGCTTTACGACGTGCGCTAAATTACTTCAAAATGACTATGCCAACAAATGACTCAGATACCTTACATGTTGAAGTTTATGAATCCACGTTCCAGTCACTTATTACGTTACTTATCAAACATCATCGTATTCGCATACTTTCTTCTGAGAAATGGCGAGGTGTCATCAGAATGTTAATTACTACACCATGGAAATTAACAATACATGAAATGGTGATCAAACTTTTGATAGAATTTTATAATGAAGATGTCAGTGCAACATTAGAAAATTCCGGTAGCGTGGAAAAACTGAAGCAAGTAAGAGAATGGAGCGAGATTGCTGCAAGTCACTATTATCAACTTGGCATAAACGTAAAGATACTTTATATTTTTCTACATTTCTTAGTAATGTGTATGAATTAACTCATATATTTTAATGAATCTTTTAGCAAAATGATCGTACAAAGATCTATTATTGTTATAATTTGCTCGTAAACAAATCTAATCAATGTTTAAATGGGTTGTGGTGTATTAAGCAGGAGATATGCCCTACTGTTTGGGATTTAGGCATCGAACATGGCTCAGCAACATCGCATGAAGATTCAAATACGGTCCCAATGGAATTTTAAAACACAATATATGTATCGTGTAAATAAAACAAGACAAAGGAATTTCAATTAGATTTGTGGTAAACTACCTAATTTGCATTTATTACTGTATTATTGCTATTATAGTAGACATTCCGAGTAGTGTTTTATGATTGTTTTTACTCATTTATTATAAATAAATTGAGTATCGTCTATATATGTAATTAGTAGATTTCCCAATTCTACCGGTAGATGCTAAGTACATGAGTAATATCTAATAATAAAGTTTATGATGATTTAAAATCTAACTTATTAGTAGCTGCTGGTATCTACCTTTGCATATTATTAACCTAACGGTATCTACCGTTAGCTACCAACTCGCATCACTATATGTAATCATTGTTAGCGAGTGGTGTTTACCATAGTTCCAACCTGAGTTTCTTGTGGCTTTATATGTATTTTTCACCAGTTTCACCCGCATTTCTAGTTCGAGTAATGAAATGTGTGGTGACTTTGAAATTATATATATACCTGAAATGGTTATAAAAGGGGTTAGAGCAGAACCAGTGATGTCCAAAAAATTTTACCATTTCGTGTAACGGAATTCGATCCTCGGATCGGACCTGCAAAATTATGCTCCGAGCAACTTTACTTAGTACATCGGTTAGCGTTAGCGGGTTTATTAGCGTTAGTAAAATTACCAAAATTTGGTGATTTTTGGGCATAATTAATTAAGTCCGGAAGCTCAGGTTATACGAAATGCATCACTAATCAAATTATACAAAGCAAAACAAGAAATAAAAACGAAAAACCTGAAAAATACAAAAAACAGCAGTCTAACCCTACCTCGAGTGGGTTAATTAAAAATGTCGGGAAGGCAATTTTGCTTATATTTAATTACCTAAAACTTAACCTAACTCTAATATAAGATGACCCTAACCTAAAGTTAATTCAATAATATATATATTATAAGAATCTACTCAGACGTCCCTTATAAAAGAAAATTATGGTTTCATGGATTTGGTTGCGTTTTATAAAAAACTCCAGTATCCTCATAGCTATCCTCATTCTTGATCTTGTGTCTTTTGCATATTGTATCGTGCTGTGATTTCTTAATTCTTCATTTTACTTCTCTCTGAACGGATATCGTATTTATATAAAAACCAAAAAACCAAAAAGCCAAAAAAGAATTTACTCATATAAAATGTAATAATGAGTACGTACTTTGTTCGAAATATATAAATCGTGCTACATCACTATGCGTTTTGAATTTTTAGAAACGATGTATCGTACGTTCATTACATATAATCATTTTACAAATATTTCTTGAAAAAATATATTTAATATAATGTTTTAGGATTCTGTGCTGTGCCAACCTCGGGAGTCTTAAATCTTTGCGGAAATCTTAATTTTTTTAGTAATTATATAGGTCGTTAAGAGGAGATTTTCATAGTAAATCGCAAATTTAGTTTCTTACTAGCACTATTAATGAGAGGTTTTTTGACGGAGTACGAAAAATTAGTAATTTTCGTACTCCGTCAAAACGTCAAAAAACCTCGTTAATACCTCGTTAATAGTGCTAGTAAGAAACTAAATTTGCAGGTTGTGGCGACTTAGTGAAGTGGTAAAGTTGTCGCCCCTCCAAGTGGCACATCCAGAGTTCAATTCCCACTGACGACGAAAAATTGAATTCTTCTGTGCATTGATGACTATTTCAGGTGTTGGGATGGAGATCCTGTAACAATGGTTAGACCAAATAGGTGCAAGGGGTAATGATCGCCTAACGAAGGCTTATCTCACAAGCCCTAATCGGGGGTGGTAGTACAGACTTGGAAGATCTTGGGCCATTCGTGTAATAGAGGAGTTACACAAAGGGATACAAACCAATAAAAAGCGGTGTAAACCTATAATAAATCCCTGGGACCTGTATAAATCCATTGGACTTTGTCTCAAATAGGAATCCGCTTGGCAAGTTCTGAGTAGAGAGGTAGTACTACTTTTGACGGTTTTGAAAAGTCTGAGAAGAGAACCAATAAGCTGTAGATCTGGACAAGGATCAGGTGTTTGGCGAGCACTATACCAACCAGGCCGCCAGAATCGATCAGAGAAAAAGAGCACAGGCCGATATCTGGGTTAAGCCAGTAGGAAAGCGGGTAACGTAACTTGTGGACCAAACCAGGCTATCTAGATTGGAAGTTTGGTGAAACAGTGGAAGGGTTCCTGATTGGATAAGTAAGGGGCTGGGGTAGAGTGAACTCTATAAGGGCAGAAGTAGGTAACAGTAGCGGCTTCGGCTCGCAAATACTTGTTCTCGGGCTAGGCGTAAGTTACCGAAACCTAGGTTAGCTTAAATGTGGGTATGGAAGGCTCTAGCAGGTTTACCTCGAGGTCAAAGGACTCCCTAAAATGGTAGAGTCTGCTTTAAAGCCCTAAGCCAACATGTGAAAATAAGGTGATACTAAGTATCATCGCTTGGATATAAAAGGGTTGGTACATAGGCGCAGAGGGTTTAAATAGGTAACCCCCCTAATGGGGTGCAGGTACGGCATCTAGTGTAAAACCTGATGATAGGCAGACTACTTAAATAGGCGCTCAAAAGGCGCAGGTATGGCTAGTTGTACCCAACAAATATGTACAGCCGTCAGGATATGTCTGATGGTTAAAAATACTACTAATATTCGAATAAAGAGCAGCGAAGCAAAGAGGTCACCTTAAAATCAAAAAAAAAAAAAAAAAAAAAACTAAATTTGCGATTTACTATGAAAATCTCTTACAACCTATATTATTAGAAAAATTGGCCTGCCAAAATAACCACAATTTTATAATGTTATTAATCGTAACTATTGCTGTCACACAAATCATATAATCAATTAATTTAACTTATAAAGACCCTATAAAAATTTTTTTAAAATCATATTCAGACTTTGCTCAGATTATTTTTTTAAGAGATAAGCATTTTCTATAACAAAAATCTATACAAAGTCTTTGAATTTTTCTGAATATTTTCATATTTTTAATTTCCTGATTATAATTTTTATCAAGCAAAAAATTATAATCAGGAAATTAACAAGGTTTCAAAAATATTCAGGA